ACCTTAGGTGTATGTGGCTGGCGCCTTAGCCGCTTGAGCCACAGGCGCCGAGCCTATTTATTTTTTAGAGACAGAGTCTCACTTTGTTGCCCTTGGTAGAGTGCTGTGGAGTCACAGCTCACAGCAACCTCCAACTCTTGGGCTTAGGTGATTCTTTTGCCTCAGCTTCCACAGGCGCCCGCCACAACCCCCAGCTATTTTTTGTTGCGGTTTGGCTAGGGCCAGGTTTGAACCTGCCACGCTCAGTATTTGGAGCCGGTGCCCTACTCACTGAGCCACAGGTGCCGCCCTCTTCTGATTATAATATTTTTTGGAATGCCAAAGTTTTTATTTTTGATTTTGTCAAAATCATTCATGTTTTTTCTTTTATGGCTTGACCTTCTTGGGTCTTGGTTAAGAAACTCTTTTCTTCCTACAATTCATAGAGGTGTTCTGGGTTATTTTCTAAGTTTTAGATTTTCATTTTTCTGATTTGGCTATTTAACCTATTGGGAGTTTATTTTTTGCAATGGTGAGAAATAGGACTTTAATTTACCAATCTTGTTTATTGAATAGGTAGAGCTAAAGGAGCATACAATGCAAAGGAAGTTTTCTCCTGCCACTTCCATCATTTTCTGTTTGGTTCCAGACTTCAGGAGTTATAATTGCAAAAAGTTCCTTGTTTGTCTTTCAAAAAATTACCCACATATATGTGTATGTATGTAATATTTGTGTGTGTGAGAGAGTGATATGTGTATTAAACATATATACATAAATTGGATCATACTCTATAGCTGTTCTGTACCTTATTTATTTACTTATTTATTTTTGGCTCAGTGGGCAATCTTTTTCTAGGCCTATACCTGGCCTAGGCATATCTAGGGTCTAGTTTAGGGGTTAGCAAACTTTTTCCATAAAGAGCTAGAGAGGCGGGTGGTGCCTGTGGCTCAGTGAGTAGGGCACTGGCCCCCTATACTGAGGGTGGTGGTTTGGAACCCGGCCCTACCCAACTGCAGCAACAACAAAAAATAGCTGGGTGTTGTGGCAGGTGCCTGTAGTCCCAGCTATTCGGGAGGCTGAGGCAAGAGAATCGCCTAAGCCTAAGAGCTGGAGGTTGCTGTGAGCTGTAACGCCACAGCACTCTACTTAGGGTGACAAAGTGAGACTCTGTCTCTGGAAAAAAAAAAAGAAGCTAGAGAGGCTTTGTGGACCACATAGTGTCTGTCACAACTATTTGCCTCTACCATTGTAGCAAGAAAGCAGGAATAGACAATAGTAAACGCATAAATGCTGTGTTGCAGTAAAACTTTACTTACAAAAATAATCCTAGCTACCACAGAGGCTGAAGCTGGAAGATTGCTTGAACCCAGGAATTCAGGGCTTCAGTGTGCTTTGATCACACTAGTGAATAGCCACTGTACTTCAGCCCAGGCAGCACAGTGAGATCCCATCTCTCTTAAAGAAATGGCTGAGTAGGCGTTGTGGCGAATGCCTGTAGTCCCAGCTACTTGGGAGGCTGAGGCAAAAGGATCTCTTGAGTCCAAGAGTTTGAGGCTGCTGTGTGCTATGATGCCACGGCACTCTACCAAGGGTGACAAAGTGAGACTCCATCTTTAAATAAAAAAAAAAAAAAAAGAAAGAAATGGCTGGGTGCATTGGCTCATGCCTGTAATCCTAGCACTTTGGGAGGCCCAGGTGGGAGGATTGCTTGAGGTAAGGAATCTATAGCTAACCTGAGCAAGAGTAAGACCTCATCTCTACTAAAAATAGAAAAATTAGCTGGGAGTGGTGGTACATGCCTGTAATCCCAGCTACTTGGGAGGCTGAGATAGGAGGATCACTTGAGCCCAGGAGTTTGAAGTTGTTGTGAGCTAGGCTGAAGTCACAGAACTCCAGCCTAGGAGATAGAGCAAGACTTTGTCCCTAAATAAGTAAGTAAGGAAAGAAGGAAGGAAGGAAAACATAGATTTGACTCCCAAGCCATATTTTGCTGACTCTTGATCTAGTTTATACACTTTAACTTCTGCATGGTTTTCTATTTCCTGGAATAGAATACCATACTATAACATAACTAATTTAATAAGCCTTTTATTAATATACATTTAACTTTCTCTTTCTTTTTACTATGAGCAATTCTGCACAAGCAGCCTTGTATGTCATCTTTGCTTACTTTTATAGATATATATGTGGAAAGAATTCCTGGAAGTAGAATTACTACATCAAATATATGTGCATTTAAAAATTTTGACAGATGTCGCCAAATTGCTCTCTGAAAGGTTGTGCTTGTTTATGTTACTGTCAGCAGTATATGAGAGTGTGAGTTTCCTCACATGCTTGCCAACTCTAGCATGGTTGAAATGCACTATATACTTTAGCTCTAAAATTATTTTATTTATTTATTAAATCATAAACACATAGATCATGTATACATTGATGCGTTTATGGGGTACAATGTGCTGATTTCATATAGAATTAGGAATGCTTACTTTACGCTGGTTAATATATACCTCATCTCGTTTACTTAGTTATTGTGTTAAGACATTTATACTCTGTACTAATAGTTCAACATGGCAGCGCCTATGGCTCAAGGAGTAGGATGCCGGCCGGCCCCATGTACTGGAGGTGATGAGTTCAAACCTAGCCCCTGCCAAAAACTGTAACTAATAGATTTGACATGTACCCTTGCATTATGCACCATTGATGTGATCCCACCATTCACCCTCCTTCAATCTGACCTCCCCCCGCTTCCCATACCCTCTCCTCCCTTAGCTCTAAAATTAAAGAAGTATTATTTTTTTTGAATTGCACTTTTAAAGTCTTGCTAGTGTCAAAGGACATATACCAATTTTTTTTTTTTTGAGACAGAGCCTCAAGCTATCCCCCTGGGTAGAGTGCTGTGGCATCATAGCTCACAGCAATCTCCAACTCCTGGGCTCAAGCAAGTCTCTTGCCTTAGCCTCCCAAGTAGCTGGGACCACAGGCACCTGCCACAACGCCCAGCTATTTTTTGGTTGTAGCTGTCATTGTTGTTTTGGTGGGCCCGGGCTGGATTCAAACCCGCCATCTTAGGTGTATGTGGCTGGCGCCTTAGCCACTTGAGCCACAGGCGCCGAGCCACCAAATTGTTAACATTGATTATTTCTGAAGAATGAGATTGCATGTGATTTTATTTTCTTTCTTTCTTTTTTTTTTGAATGTACAGGCAGTACTTTATCAGCAAAAACAAAGGTGTTTTCATTTCAAAACAAAAGATACATGTAGGGTGGTGCCTGTGGCTCAAAGGAGTAGGGTGCTGGCCCCATATGCCAGAGGTGGCGGGTTCAAACCCAGCCCTGGCCAAAAAAAGGAAAAAAAAAAGATACGTGTAATGTGGTATTATATCTTAGATATATAATTATGAATGCTCTCTCTATATATAGAACCTCTGTAAGTTTGTTATAGTCTCCCCAAGAGACTATAACAAACTGGTCAACACACAGAGGTGGTCAACATACGGAACTAGACCCACTGTACTAATACCTACATGTGATGCATGTCTGGTCTATGAAAATCAGCTCAACTGAAGGAAGTGGTCAGTGTAGGGAGGTGGTTAGCTGTGGAGGTTCTATTGTATATATATTTCTCCCCAGCAGCTATATTATAGAAAGAAAACACAACTTCGTCTGAGGAAAATCAATGTTTATCCAAATGTTCCTAGTACTATACAAATGCTGATATATCCACTGCCTTAGCTCTTTGTGAATAGAAATTTTCTTCTTTATTCCACAAAGACAGCATCCCCCAAGTAGATGTTTTAGGTACCAGGTACACTGACATAAAAGATTACTAATGTAGCTTACAAAATGAAGGACTTATTTTGGGTGCTGTCAGAATCTGGGTATATTTCTTCATGTACTTCCTTAGTATGTGCCAGGGCCGTGTAAGTAACCTAACATGTATGGACCAGCTCATAAGACACCAAGGAGGCAAATTCATCATGCAGTATCCAAAGTCATCTCAAGCGGGTGGTAAGGACCTGATGCTTAACAGCAAGCAGTGTGTTCTCTGTCTTACAAGGTTGAGATTTTGCATTTCATGAATTTCTCTCACTTCCTGATTGCATCTACCCTGGCATCATAGTGATGCCAGAGGAACTGGTAATTCCCCTGAGTTCCCCAAACCCCAGCTATGTGTTGATATATTTCACTGTTGCATATTTTATTTCCTACAGAATGGGAGGTACAGAATCATATCCCCTCTGGAACCATATTGAAGGCCTTTATAGAAGGTGGTGAAAATGGGCCCTGGATGAGATTTATGAGAGGAGAGATAACAGTACAGAATTTCTTACAAGAATTTGAGGGACTTTGCTCTCAAATGGTGAGTGGTAAACATGCCTGCATTTCCATATTATTCTTTTTGAGTTGAGTAGGGGTTATAACATTCACCCATAAATTGGTTAAACTGAACATAAAGTGCTGGGTGCAGTTTCTCATGCCTCTAATCCTAGAACTCTGGGAGACCGAGGTGGGAGGATGCCTTGAGCTCAAGAGTTCAAAACCAGTCTGAACAAGAATGAGACCTCATTTACAAAAATAGAAAAATTAGCCAGGCATCATGGCAGGCACCTGTAGTCCCAGCTACTAAGGAGGCTGAGGCAGGAGAATCACTTGAGCCCAGGAGATTGAAGTTACCTTGAGCTATGATCATGCCACTGCACTCCAGCCTGGGCGACAGAGCAAGAATACCCTATCTCAAAAAAGGGGAATCCTGGGTGGCGCCTGTGGCTCAGTGGGTAGGGTACTGGCCCCATATACCAAGTGGTGGGTTCAAACCCAGCCCCAGCCAAACTGCAAGCAAAACAAAAATATCAAGCATTTTCTCTGTAGTGTGCTTTGTTCTAAGCTCTTTATTTATATTAACTCATGTAATTTCACAACCACTCTACTAAAATATAGTTTAAAATATAATAGTTCTTTAGGTGGATGGTGACGATAGTTGCCTAACAATGTGACTGTACTTAATGTCACTGCATTATATATGTAAAATGAGCCAAGCACAGTGGCTCATGCCTGTAATTCTAGCACTTTGGAAAGCTGAGGTGGGAAGATTGCTTGAGGCCAGGAGTTTGAGACCAACCTGGGCAACATAGCTGGGCATGGTGGTGAACATCAATTGTCCTAGCTACCCAGGAGGCTGAGGCAGGAGGATTACTTGAGCTCAGGAGTTTGAGGCTGCAGTGAGCTATGAGCTTACCATTGCACTCCAACCTGGACAACAGAGTGAGATCCTATTTTTAAAAAAGTTAAAATGATAAATTTTACTGTTTCATATATTTTTTGTAATTAAAAATTTGTGTTTATAAAATAGTAAATCTTGAAAATGTTATTCTAAGTGAAAGAAGCAGCCAGTTAAAAAAGATTTCATATTCTATGGTTCCTTTTGTATGAAATGCCCAGAATAGGTAAATCTATAGAGACAGAAAGTAGGTAAGTGGTTTTCTGGGCCTGGGACTATGGGGGGAAATGAGAAGTGACTGCTAATGGGTATGGGTTTCTCTTTAGGATAATGAAAATATTCTAAAATTGATTGTGGTGATCGTTGTGCAAGTGTATGAATATATTAAAAACCATTGAATTGTACTTTAATTAGGTGAATTATATGGTGTGAGAGTTATATTTTAATATAGCTATTATAGAATATCTGTGTTTATATATGTATATATACAATAGCAGACTTGGCCTTTGGAGATCTTGATACTTGATAATTCACATGGATTGAATTTAAAAACAAAAAATTTGATCAGAATCTAAAGTTCATGCTAAGGTGCCAGTCACATACACCTAAGGTGGCAGGTTCCAATCTAGCCCGGGCCCGCCAAACAATAATAATGGCTGCAACCAAAAAATAGTCAGGTGTTGTGGCGGGCCCCTGTGGTCCCAGCTACTTGGGAGGCTGAGGCAGGAGACTCACTTGAGCCCAGGAGTTGGAGGTTGCTGTGAGAAGTGAAGCCATGGCACTCTACCCAGAGGGACAGCTTGAGGCTCTGTCTCAAAAATAAAAATAAATAAAAAAAAGAATCTAAAGTTCATAATGGTGATACTGAGGCAATACAAAATCACTAAATGCCCTCTGGATCATTAAAAATTAGATTATATCTGTTTAATACACTTTTAGAGTTTAACGTATTCTCTGACAGTGTTCTGAGGATATGTTAGAACTGCTTATTTTTTCTTTTTTTTTTTTTTGAGACAGAGCCTCAAGCTGTCCCCCTGGGTAGAGTACCATGGCTTCACTGCTCACAGCAACCTCCAACTCCTGGGTTCAAGCGAGTCTCCTGCCTCAGCCTCCCAAGTAGCTGGCACCACAGGTGCCCGCCACAGTGCCTGGCTATTTTTTGGTTGCAGCCATTATTGTTGTTTGGTGGGCCCGGGCTGGATTTGAACCTGCCACCTTAGGTGTATGTGGCTGGCACCTTAGCCGCTTGAGCCACAGGCACTGAGCCAGAACTGCTAATTTTTTCAATTTGCAGTCCATGAGTGGAATAAAGAAATAACTCATTAAATTGCAGTATTGATATAAATAGCTCCATTCCATAATCATTGTAACTCTGAGTCACTTTTTAAAAAACCTTACATGCAGAGTACAGCACAGGGATGGAGGGAGACATTTCCTTTAGACAGAAAGCCATGAGTCTGGACACTTAACACCGGACAGCAGTAGGAAGCCAGGGATAAGTCTTTTTTGTTGATCAGAAGTGGTCCTTACTCTTAATGATTTTTGTTTCCTCTGCCTTCACTGTTCTTAGTCAAAGACCTCTGTGCCCGTGGACTCATTTTTCTCTCTGCTGACCAGTGAGCGAGTGGCAAAGCAGTTCCCAGTGATGACAGAGGCCATTGCTCAAATTCGGGCAAAAGGCCTTCAAACTGCAGTCTTGAGCAATAATTTCTACCTTCCTAATGGGAGAAGCTTTTTTCCCCTGGATCGGAAACAGTTTGATGTGGTAAGCTGAAAATGATTCAGATCATCGAAACAGAGTCTGTGCCCTTGCTTCAGGATGCAATATTAAATTCTACCTTTTAGCAGGTCTTGAGTGAAAGAGTTTTTTATCAGAAACTTGACTTAGGTTTAGATGCAATGGATTTTAAATATTACTGTGAGGCTGGGCATGGTGGCTCAATGCCTGTAATACTAGCACTCTGAAAGGCCTAGGTGGGTAGGTTGCTTGAGCTCAGGCGTTCGAAACCAGCCTGAGCAAGAGTGAGATTCTATCTCTACTAAAAATAGAAAAACTGAGGTAAGAGGATCTCTTGAGCCCAAGAAATTGAAATTGCTCTGAGCTATGATGCCATGGCACTCTACACGGGAAGACAGAGTGAGATTCTATCTCAAATAAAAAACAAAAATTAAAAATATGGCTTGGCACCCGTAGCTCGGTGAGTAGGGCTTTGGCCACATACACTGAAGCCCATTCGAGCCCATCTTGGACCTGCTAAATACCAATGACAACTGCAACCAAAAAATAACCAGGCGTTGTGGTGGGTCTCTATTGTCCCAGCTACTCAGGAGGCTGAGGCAAGAGAATCACTTAAGCCCAAGAGTTTGAGGTTGCTGTGAGCTGTGATGTGGTGGCACTCTAACGAGGGTGACATAGTAAAACTCTGTCCCCAAAAAGAAAAAAATTAAAAATAGAAAAACTAGCTGAATGTAGTGGCATATGCCTATAGTCCCAGATAATGATGCCCCGGCATTCTACCCAGGGCGACAGAGTGAGACTCTGTCTCAAAAAAAAAAAA